GGAGAGGGAGAGGGAGAGAGGGGGAGAGAGAGAGGGAGAGAGAGAGATAGGGAGGGAGGGAGAGAGGGAAAGAGGGAGAGAGAGGGAGGGAGGGAGGGAGGGAGAGATAGAGAGGGAATGAACTGGAATCCAGTCCAGCTGGACCCCAAAGCCCAGACTCTTTGTTCATACCTCCACCCAGCCCCTCTGTCCTGGGCTATCTACCTGTCCAGGTCAGATGGGGAGGGGAGGGGAGGGGTCGGCTCAGCCCCCCAGGGAGCGGGAGCTCCCACCTCCTCTGCTCCCTCCCCTCCCCCTGTTAAAGTGCAATCGTGTAACTAACACATGTCAGATGAGCTCAATTTGGTAATTCTGGGCACCTGCAGTGCCGAGGGCCCGAGGGCCCATCCTGCACGGGGAGGGGCGGGCTTGGTGCGGCTGGCCCTGCCCACCCTCAGCCTGTGGTCAGGACTTCGCGACCAGGCTTGGGGGATGCTCCAGGAGCTACCGTATCCTCCCCATGTTCACGTTCCTAAGAAACCACTCTCAGATTGAGGGCTGAAAGGAAGGGGCAGAAGAGAAGAGAGCAGACGTCAGGGGAAGACGCAGGAGAAAGGAGACGGGCTGACGTGACGTGGATTCCCGTGAGCTCAAACTTTAGCTTGGGTCCGATTGTAAGTTAATGCCCGCCTCCGAGATGATTTAATTAGAGGCAAATCCCACAGGCCACCTGTTGGTTTAGCTCTTTTTCCTGTCTGGTGGGGATGCTGGGACTCCCCGGGGGAACATGGAGCAATAGCCAGTGACTAGATTCTCCTGGGGGAAATGAGTGAGAAAATGTTCAACCCCAGACCCCAAACTGTTAGATTTTCGTCCCTAATTGGAACGCAGACCCCTTGGTAACAGCGCACGCTTGTCTGCATCTCCCACGTGCGTGTTGTGTTTTCTTTATGGGGTTGGGAAGGGCGGGGGAAGGCGGGCCCGGCCCTGGTTCTGCTGGCGTCTGCACAGCGTCACCCCCGAGCTGGGTGTCTCTGATTAAATCACAATCTCCCCACTGCTTCTCCACGTCAGGGGGGGACTCGCGTCAGGCCGCTCGTGCTACATACATGACTTCACAACGGTTCGCATTTCTTTTCTGCTGTTCATTCCCAAACAGCTGGAGGCCCGAGAGGGAATTCAAACCAAGTTGCCGGTGGATGGGCCCAGGGACTGATGCCGTCCTACAGGCCTCCCCGGGACCAGGGCACGGGACGCGGGGCTGCGATATTGGCTCACGATGAGCCGTGGCCTCTGAGGACGGCGCCGCACCAGCCCCCTGGGCCCCCTCTTCCAAAGGCTTTGCTAAATCTACTCCTCAGAGGGTCACCCTTCCTGCCGTGACGTCCTCGCACCATCAGGTACTGTCTGGATCATTTTTGCCGTATCCACGTACCACATACTGTAGTCTGCTGCTTACTCCATCCTTTTTCCTTAAGTGGACTCACGTTTTTACTTCGATAAATTAGTTTATAAGGAAATGACCTCACGTTTTTACTTCAATAAATTAGTTTATAAGGAAATGAACTACCGCCGCACTAAAGGGGAAAGTGGTATCATTTGTCAGCCGTGGAAGTTACCATTTTAAAAAATGCCATGAAAACCACGGTGTTCTCAGAATGTAGCTGCTGCCTGGGGCCGGCTCTCTGCCCCACAGAGGGAAGGGCATCGCCGGGGGACACGCCGCGTGTTGGGGCTCCCTCTGACGTCACCAGGCGGGACGGGAAGCATCTCTCACCAGGGACGCAGGGTCCCTCAGCTGGTGTCTGGGTTCCTGATGCTGGGGCGGCTCCTTGCCGGCACCCTGCCGTGTGGCCCCCGTCCTGCCAGCCATCAGGACCTCCTGGTCTCCAGCTCTGTGTGTCCCCGAAGTCCTTCCCTCTAGAAAAGCCTCTCCTTGGCCCCGGCACCATTGCCCTGCCTTCCAGATTCTTCCTCCCGTTCACCCCGTTTGGAATTCTGCCCTTCCTCCCCGTCCTTTGTGGGCTGGTGCAGCAGAGGGCTGGGAGCTGTGTAGACATCTCCGGTCAGGAGGACCGCGGGGCCACCTCACTGACCCCAGCGTCCTGGGACGTCACTCCAGGACGGGGCTCCAGGTGCACCAGCTAGGCTGGGGTGATGGGTGTCTGTGGGTGCCCAGAGCCCACAGCTGGGTCGGTGTGGTACCAGCTGGCCGAAGGGCCTGTCGACAATCAGGGCTTGGCCTCCCGGCCTCCAGGTCCCCAGGCAGTGGGTGCCCAAAGGGCAGGCCGAGCTTGGCACGGTCAGTGCTCGCAGGACTGTCCCTGTGGGTCACAGATGCGCCCTCCACAGATTCAAACCCTGCAGCCGAGTGATGCCCACTTCCCTGTGCTGGACCCGGTGGTCGGCCCGGGGGCGGGCGCTGCTGGTAGCCAGGCAGGTGTCCCCCGCTGCTGCCCCCTCCCCTGTCTCACCCTCTCCCAGGGCCCCTCCTAGCCGGCAAGCGCGTCTGCTCTAAGGTTCTCATGGGTATTGTGGCATCCATCCCTCCTGCCTCCCAGGTGTGTGCTTAGCCTGGGACCGCGCTGGAGACAGATTGTTGATTCCAAGGTGAGGATGTCGACCCGGTCCGGATGGAGGGGGTGGGTAGGCGGAGGGCAGCATGCCCACCCCGCCATGGCCGCGCTCGGCTCTGCTGCCGCCCGTTTCCTCCTGCAGGCTGTGGGGCTGTGCTCCGCCTCTGAGACCCTCCCTGGGGTGACGAGGGTCCCTCGGCAAACACCTGTTTCCGATTTCTCCCAGGCTTAACCTCAGGTTGGGGCAGTGATGCCGCTGCGCTGGGATCCACTCCTGGGTGTGGCTGTGCAGTGTGTTTGCTCAGAGGGGTGGGGAAAGCCCAAGCCCACGTCCCGTGTCACTCAGGGTGGGAGACGCCGGGAAATAGAACTCACAGGGGTCGCGTCGGGGGAGACCAGAGTGATGAGGAAAGCGCAGACAGGTGCTTCTACGACGCTGAGTGACCACCCATCTCCCTGGTCCCCGTGGAGGCCCTGGGACGGGCTCCCACCCGCCTGGCGTGAGGGCGGCAAGCTGACCGGTCAGGCTTTAACCCCGGCCGTCCGACTCCAAGGCCAGGCGCTCTCACTACGGTGAGAACCGATTCCCTCTGGCACTCTTCGTGTTTTCACACCTGTTGAAGTGTGAACACTCTTAGATTGGATGAGGATGCTAAGGTAGTTAGATTCACTGCGCTTTTCCTTGTCCGACAGCTGCTTTTGCTGGACTGTCCTGGGCCCCGGGTCCCCGGCTTCCTCAGGAAAGAGAGGGAACCAAGGCCAAGCCTAGAGACACAATTCTTTTTTTTTAATTTTATCAAAGTCTGGTTGATTTACAATGTTGTGTTAATTTCTCCTGTGCAGCAGAGTGACTCAGTCATACATATATATTCTTTTTCATATTCTTTTCCATTGTGGTTTGTCACGGGATATTGAATACAGTTCCCTGCTTTTTTTGTTTTTAAACTTTATTGAAGTCTAGCTGATTTACAATGTTGTGTTCACAATTCTTGGTTTGAAATGGAGACTTTGGAAAAACAGAACAGTGCTCTCCGCCATCAGGGGCAGCAGAGCCACAGGCCTGGCCTGCGGGGCTGGATGGATCCAGCAAATGCTGGGGTCCTGGGGTCCATCTATCAGGGAGATGCAGGGCGCTGAGCATGGGGCCTCCCCTGAGTCTCCCCCTCACAGCCACCCTCCTCGGTGCTGCCTGCCCAGCCAGCCAAAGCACCCGTGGGCTTAGCTCGGCGGTGGCAGAGCGCCTGGGGACCCTGGGCAGACACGCTGCAGCCCCCAGGACGATGGGGCTGACGTGCTCGACTGCCAACCCGGGCTCTGCAGCAAGAAAGCAAACACGCCTTCAGCCGGCCTGACACATGGTCCTAAGACTTTAATAAAGCAACTCTTTGACACAAAACATAGGGATGGTTCCTTGGACCTGTTTCAGTGTATCGTGTCGCTCTTTGCTCTTGGAGATGTTACAAGCCTGTGAGGGACACAGTCCAGAGTCTAGTTTTACAAGGTTTTTGCTTAGAAGTGCAACCGCGTGTTGGCTCGGCCGACACACAGATCTTTGGAAGAGTTTAGCGGGGAGAAAGATTAAAGTGACTCTAAAACCACAAACTATGTACAGAATGTATTACGGACTTGAATTTGCGGGTTTTTGTTCTTTTTTTTTTTTTCCTTGCCTCCTGCAGCTTGGGGCAATGGTTTCCAGAAGAGTCTGTTGTTTGGATTTAAAACTGCTTTGTGGAAATACTCTGTTCTCCAAGGTTCTGCGGGTCACGGAACAGTTGGCCGGAGTCCTGGTGGGCCCCCGGGAGGCTGGTTCTCTGGGTGATTCAGGCAGGGCTGGGCCTGGACTAGGGGCTCCAGGAGTCCGGCCTAGTCTGGGAGTGGGAGTGGGGGTAGGAGTGGGGCCAGCCAGGTGAGCCCAGGGGCTGAACACCAGAAGTCCAGACCTCACTGGTCTCTTGTTTTCCTGCCTAATTTCTAGTTAAAGAAAGTGGGTCCTAGGGGCTTCCCTGCTGCTTTTGTCTTGTTTTGTCCTGAAGA